TAAGCGTAATTTCAAGTTCCCCTTTATGCAATGATGACAATAACATCGAATGAAGGAAAGAGAAGTTTTAGCCTTCTAAAGAGAATACTTCATTACACAAGATGTATTATGACGGAGAGCAGACCTAACGATTATGCACTTATGGCTCACTACTGAGAAAATCATTGAAATGTTTGTGCAAGCAAATCCAAGAAAATTGTAGCTTAAAAGAGTTGGTGAATATGTAGATTAAGTAAATTCTATCTACAAATTTCAGAAGAGATTTCGTTTATCAGTGAAAATATGATTTTTAATGATACTGTGATTATTGATTTAGTTAGCTGTGATGGAGTAAAGTGATAAATTTATAAATTTATAAAGTTAAAAAGTTAAAGTTAGTTTTTCGAGCAAAGGAATAAATTTTAGAATAAATTTTAGACTCTATAAGGTTAGTAACACCCAAAAATGTAGTCTTTTTGGTGTATTTTTATGGTGTTAATTGACTTTTTGAACAAAACAATTCCAGGGGGGGGCAAAAAAATTTTTGCCCCCCCCTGGCTTAAATCCTGTGTACGCGCCTGCTCATCATACTTATTCTACCAATCCTCTTTATTCCACTCATCCGTCTCCTCATCCTCCTTATTCTACCCATCCTTCCCTTTATCCTCCTTATTCTACCCATCCTTCTCCTCATCCTCCTTATTCTACCCATCCTTCCCTTCATCCTTCTTATTCTATCCATCCATTTCCTCATCCTCCTTATTCTACCCATTGTTCTCTTCATCATCCTTATTCTACTCATCCTACTCCTTATCCTCCTTATTCTACTAGTAAAAAAAGTGCCATAGATTAGAAATTTACGATTATATAATAAACAAAAATGCAATCAAAAAGGTGTTAGACATATTCGTTTATCTTATTTCAGAGAAAAAGCTAATGAAATAAAACCATGAGAGTAATTAGGGTCTGTACTGGTAATTGATTTATGTACACAGGGCAGGATGTAAAAAGTTGATGTCTCATCTCAGTATGAATTTTTTCAGTCCCTTAGAAGAATTTGTTTAAAAAACGGTTTTACACTTTTTTGTGTAATTTTATTTTTATAAATATATAAAGATGCATTTTTTAACAATTTGAATATTCAATCTTAAATTATTAAATTAATTTCTATGGGGAAAAAATTGTCATGTTATTCACATAAGAATTGAAGCAAAATGTTGACAGATAAACGAGAACACGCATTTATAACTATTAATAAACACTGTTATTTTGATTAATACACTTTGTAGCACATCGCGTCTTGCCAAAATAATAGTGTTATAGGTAATTTTAAGAAACGTTTGTGTACTTGTCTTACTTTAATAGCTATTTCTATAGATCAAATAAGCTTAGAAACAAAGCAGAAGTAAAAAAATAAAGTTGATTTTAATTTTATTTTTATTTTAATTGAAAAAATTATGTTGAAAAAATATCCTAAATATTTTGGAGAAAATCCGGGAACCAATCAAAACTTT